AGGTTCCTCTGGCCTGATCATGTTACCCTTCAAGCTATTTTTATTATGATGGTTCATGTTATCCGGAGAGTGGCATCATGGGGCTCTTGGAAGAGAAAGGAGGAAGCAATGGGAACATGATTCTAGAATTGGTTTTCCCCCTTGTCATGAAGATCAATCGGCCCCACCCCCAACCTCTGTTTAGACATGTACTGCTACTGTTCTACTCTGAAAAATCTAGCAGAAGGTGATGAGCACTCCATGGATGTATTTAGTATTTATCAGCAAATAAGATCTCTGGTCTAGCAGAGTCCCCTTCTCAGAATAAAGTTTGTGAGAAATATTTCAGCAACTGTCCCCTACCCCGACCCAGTTCTGTGACACTAGAGTATGGAATAACTATAGCACCAGATGACTCTAACTGCTTCACACCAGTGGGTCAAGGAGCCTGGAAGGCTGTCCTCCGCCTTGTCCAAACTTCAGAAAATCCCCGGCAAACCACGATAAAGCCATCAGAGTGACAAACAGCAGCCTAATTGGTATTAGCGGATATTTATGTTGGAATGACTAAGTTAAAGCCCCTAATTGGTCGGAGACACTTGAGTAATGGGACCCACGGAGTCCCATTAGTATTGCATTGACATGTTAGCTTATCTTCGCTCCTGATGGCAAAAGGATACGCTTGGGAGCCTCTCACTGCAGCTCATCCAGGGGAAGACTTCTGGCCTGAGATTTATGTTATCTAAAGCAACAAACCCAGTTGCCTCCTTCATGGTCTGAATTACAGATTTTCCATTTAGCTGGCCACCGAGGATCTGCTGCTGTGATTATGTCTCCAATTATAGTCCCCTTGAGTTCAAGCTGCATTCTGATGCAATTGTGCATTTATCCCGTGCCTCTCCTTGGAGTGAAAGATCATCATCAGCTCCACTCGCTCCCCCTGGAAGAAAATCTTCTGTCAGAACTTTGCAGTCTGGGCACTAAGTTTTCATTCTTGTCAGGGAACTCAGACTCCCCAAGCAGCGTCTCTGGAAGCATTTTTTATTCAGTAACTGTCCTCTGACTCTAACGTTGCCCTGGACTACAAGTCCACTTCTCATCTCCAGGAGAGAGAAGGTCCCTCTATGTGTGCACATTCTATGTCCAGATCCAGCTTGGGAATGTTGAGGTCTGACTTAAATACTTCCCTGAGATCTGTGTTTTTAATGTGTGGTATGTTTGAGCTGAGTTGGCACTGCATCCTTACTTTGAAAGCACGCTTATTGTTTGAGTCTGCAAACCTAAGTCTCCAGAGAAAGCTGCTGTTTCCACTTCTGCATGCAAATGTTATTCCAAGTATAACAATAGAAAGACAAATCAAAATAAAGGAAAATACAATTTTGGTGCAGTTCAGCATCTCTGATAGGAAAGTCTGAAATCCAGAATAGTTCAAATTCCAAGAGGTCTTTCACTGGCAACCCAAGTGGAAAATGCCACGCCTGACCTCCTGTGACCACTCACAATTAGAACACACATCCATTCAAAAGATAAAACTTATTTCAGGCTAGTGGCAATGTATATGCTGAGCACAAATAAGCTTCATATTTAGACTTAGAGTTATTCCCAAGATATTTCGTTAGGCATATGTACGTGTTCTGGAATCTGAAATCTAAAGCGTTGCTAGCATCAAGCACATGGAACGGGTTACAGAGACTCAACTTCTACAATCTCAGAGCTTGTCTGATGATTCTAGTAGGAGAACACTTATTTACCCTTGGCCAAAGCTCTGTCCTCTAATGCGGAGGCAGTTCTCTTCAGCCAGCCCAGTACATGGCTTCCCAAGTGGTGATGGAGGAAGGTGATGGATAGCTCACATCTCCACTGTAAGATAAATGCTCTACCACTGAGCTATCCCTCCAGCCCCTAGAAATCACATTTTTATAGTTAGCATATTATCTATGTATTTTCCATGTATTTCATCTAGACCCCTGTAGACATGCAGTTGGCTAGATTGGGTGTATCATCTTTAATTAATCGTTCCTTGTTAGACACTTAAAATATTGGTAATTTATGATCATGAGAATTTATAATCATTCATAAAGTGAACACTCTTTTAGCCAAATCCTGTTTTTTCACTTTTGATTATGAAATACACAAGATAACTGTACACACAATTACTACATCTGTACTCTCTAGCTTCAAAATCATTGTTTTGTCAAATTGTTTCATCTATTTCCAAACCATGCACACTTTTGTTTGGGGGTTCTGGAGCATTTTAAAGAAAGCCCGTCATTTTCCAAATTCTCTTTAAGAAGCATGGAGACAGGTGTAAGAAAAAGCTGCCAGAGAAGTCCTGCTTTCTTCTCTCCTTTGTGTGGGGACGGGCTTTGCCTTTTCTCATTGCTTTTCCTGTGATTTTTGAGCAACAGGCATGTCAAATCTACTTTGTGAGTGTCAATAGCTGCTGAGGATGACAGAATCAGAAAGGGCACCCTCTGCTCCTTGCTTTCTTATCTTAATCTTATCAAGTGACTTGGCTTGTCTAAGCCTGAGTTGGACTGATCCCAGCATCTCAGAGGCCTGTGCTGAGAGACCCTGTGCAGAGGGAACCTCCTACAGCCTGGGCTTAGAGGAGGCGTGTGGTGCAGCCACAGTCCTTGGCCCTTACAAAAGCAGGTCACAGAGAAGCTCCAGGCATGTGAGCCTGGGGGGAGCAGGGGAGTTTCTAGGAGCACCTCTGTAGTCTGGATGCAGACGATCGCCAAGCTATGAAATGGATAATTCCCTGTTGCTTTTCCCGGCACAAACCATCACAGCCTGTTTAACTGAGTTATAACATCAACAATACACGCAAATGTGGGGAAATGAACTATCAATCTATTTAAAGTTGGACCGTTCCCACCAAACTCTTGCTGTTGAAGCTGGACTCACTATCACCAAGGTCCTTGCTTTTGTGGTGGAGCCCTAGACAGGAAGCTCCATGCATGTTGGAATTCCTCTGTGAAGCCTGTGATACTAATCCACTAGGTCCTACCTCTGAGCTGCATCCTCACCTGTGGATGGATATTGTCAACCACCGTAGGGGGGTGGGGAGGGAGGAGTTTCATTCAGAGCCTGAAACTGCCCTGACCACAGAGTCAGTGGGCTGTGGTACTCTGACTGAACGTACACACATGAGTGTGCTTTGTGCCGGAGAGTAGAAAGAGCATGTCCTTTGGAATCAGTGACCCTGTATCCTGGCTCCATAACTCAGGGAAGGCCTTCCCCTTACTCAGTTTCTGCTTTCTGACTGGAAGTATAGACACATGGCCTCATGGTACCTACATACAGGGCTGCTAACTCATACATGATTAACATTTTTGTGTGTGTGCCTACTCTGTACCATGGATGATGGTTCCAGTGCCCAGATTTCACTGAGGATGTAGATGGAGAATGAGATGAAAATAAACTATAAAATACATAGATTAGAGGGAGCCAAATGATAAAGCCCCAAAGCAAGCCTGGGGATGTCACTCAGCGGTGGTTGTGTTTGCCTAGGATGTGCAGTGCCCTGGGTTCTATAGCCAGGACTAAAGAAAACGAAATGAAGCAGCAGAAAGATTAGGAACAGTAAAGAAACACAGGGAGAGGCCCATGTTATAGTTCTGGGGGGGGGGGGTTCTGCCCACAGCTGTGGCGAAAAGGTGAGCTGAGTGGAGGACTTAAATGAGATGGGGTGAGCCAAAGGAGAGAATTCTGGGATAGGGAAGGTGAAGTAGAAGCATGCTCAGAATGTTTAGGGACCGGACCAGCAAAGAGAAAGTATGGCTGGGACAGAAGGGTGGAGGGGATGGAGCAAGGATGTGCAGGTCTTTGAAGATGGCAGTCGGGGCTTTGGATCTTGTTTGTTTGGTGTCTAGAAGCCATTGTGGGGCACTGGGCACAGCTGTGACATGGTGTGGCCCAGCCTTCTACTTCATCCTGGTCTCTACCCTCTTTGTCCCTCCCTTTCTTCCTTCTGTCTCTTTCTGTCCCTGTCTGACTGTCTGTCTCTGTCCCTGTCTCTCTGTTTCTGTCTCTCTGTGTCTGTCTGTCTGTCTGTCTGTCTCCTGCTGATGGCACCCAGGTTCTAAAATGTTCTACGCACACACTACCACTGAACTACCCCCCACTCCAGCCTAGACCTAGCATTTTGTAAAGTATAGTCTGAAATTTTCTGGGGTGGCCTAAGGCCATTGCAGGCGCATCCATGAGGTCAAGAACTATTTTCTTGCCATTATAAAACACAATGAATCCTTTCTAGACTCACTCCCTTGAAGCTCTTGAGTGGAGCTTTCCGGAGGCATGGCACACGCAACAGCAGATTGAAAGCAGAACCAGGCAAAACCATCTTCTCTCAAGTGGGATGACGCAGACATCTGCAAGCTCTACTCTTCAAAAGTGCACTGCTAATGACTGTTATCTTCTAGTTTGGGAAAATCTTGTTATTTTCATGGACAGACAATGAGTCTATTATTGTTTTATAAATTAATTGTTTCATAACTTGGCTTCAATATCTAATACAGAATTGAAAATAGACATGGAATGGAAAGAGACAGCAGAGTTCTCGGGATGGGAGGAGATGGTGGAGTCCTGGAGAGGGGAGGAGATGGTGGAGTCCAGGAGAGGGGAGGAGATGGTGGAGCCCTGGAGGGGGAGGAGATGGTGGAGTCCTGGAGGGGGGAAGAGATAGTGTTCTGGGGATGAGAGGAGATGGTGGACTCCTGGAGGGGGGAAGAGATGGTGTTCTGGGGATGAGAGGAGATGGTGGAGTCTGGGAATGAGAGGGGATGGTGGAGTCTGGGGATGAGAGGGGATGGTGGAGTCTGGGGATGAGAGGGGA